TAATTTGGTCAGACGAAACGAAAATTGTGTTTTACGGACGAAACATGCGCACTCATGTATGGAGGAAAAAAAAGGAGCGGAATACGAGCCAGCAAATACCATCCCTACAGTAAAACATGGAGGTGGAAATATTATGATGTGGGGTTGTTTTTCCTCAAATGGAGTGGGAAAAATGAAAATCATCGAAGTAACAATGAATGCTGCAAAATACACTCAATTTTTGTCAACTCAACTCTTGAACAGTGCCACATCTTTGGGACATGGTCGTGATTTTGTATTACAGCAAGACAATGATCGAAGCATACTGCTAAAACAACTAAGAATTGGTTTAATAATAATGACATTAATGTCCTGGAACGGCCAAGCCAGTCCCCGGGTTTAAATCCAAACGAAAATTTGTGGAAACTATTGAAGTTACGAGTTCATAAAAGAAATCCATCGAATTTAAACAAATTGAAGAAAATTTTGAAGAAGAATGGGTCAAAATACCAACAAGTACCTTTTTTGAGATATGTAAGAAAAACCAATGTGTTAAATACTTTTTGCTACCAGCTGTATGTATATATATATATATATATATATATATATATATATATATATATATATATATATATATATATATATATACACACACACACACAAGTACAGATTTGGTACACATGGAATAATATAAAATTACAGAAAAAAAAACGCTATTCTAAGAGAACTAATATATATATATATATATATATATATATATATATAATCGCTATGGTCTGGATTTTACATTATAGTATAAGTACTACAAATCATGGAGAGAGAACAATACAAGAACCAGAATTAAGAAGATTAATTACCGCAGCCTCATATATATAATTTCAAATAATAAAAAATTACTTATTTTTTTAATTAAAATTATATTATTATTATATATTAGTGAACTTAAAAAATAATTCGGAACTATTATTTTTTGGGAAAAAAAAACATCAAAAATTACCATTTTTGAGTAACAAGTTTTCTCCTGTGTAAAAAAATGTGTCATTATTTTAAAATACCTTGTTATTGTATTTCCCTAATTTTATTCCAGAATATTCTTTAAAATTCTAGAAAGTTCTAGAATTATTTTAAAATATATAAATCAGACCAAAAATGTAATTAATTAGTGATTTTTGAAAAGCTATAAGCACACAATGCAATCTGTTAAAATAGCAATATTTGCTCTATCAAAAGCTGGTAAATCGACTCGAGAAATTACAAATAGTGTCAACACTCTCAGCGAACTGTCTTGAGGGTTTTGAGAAGCTTCAATTCCACAGAAACTTTTGTCAAGGTCGAAAATAGGGGGAGAAAACACAAGATCGATGAGAGAATCGGTCGCAAAATCAATGGAGAAATTCACCAAAACCGATCAATTACCAGTACAGAAATTTCTGCTACTTTGAAAAATGATCGCGAAGTAAGTGTCAACTTCTCTACTGTACACAGATGGTTCTTGAACGAAGCTTACAAAGCCTATTCAAAAGTTTTTAAGCGACTGCTAAATAAAACACATAAGGCTAAACGTTTAACATGGACAAACACTTACAAGTCCTTCACTGAGTCTGATTGGAAACATGTTCATTTCTCCAACGAGACAAATATTGAAAAATCTTTTTAAAACACAAAAGAACGAAAATCAGATGGAGGGGCGATGAAAACTCTTCGATAACGAAAGTTAATAATGTTAAGCATCATGTCGATTTTATGATTTGGGGTTGCTTCTCATTCAATGAGACTGGACTTTTCAAACCAGTAGACAAAACGCTGAGCAGCACTTAATGTTCAAAAATCTGCCGAAAAACTCAAATCAGTCAATCCTTATTTTTATACTCCCTGACACACATCAAAGAAGATGAAAAATTACATTTCCGAAAAAAAATGACAATGTTACGGTATGGCCACCATAGTCTCCTGACCTAAAACCAATCGAGAATTTATAGAGCGTAATAAAATTAGGGCTTTCGAAGAAAATCATTCAAAACAAAGAAGCTTTGATTGAAAATTTTATTGTGAATTGGAACAGTCTGCGAGGAGACGACATCTGCAAAAATCTTATTAAGAATATGACGGACAGAGTCAACAAAGTCCTGAAAACATTTTTACTAATAAAATTTAACTTTTGTGTCTTTATTTTACGAAATATTATTTTTTAAGAAAATATTAGATTAACGTTCTACATAATTAATACAGTATGAAAAGTAAATATTTACCTTAAAAACAAAAAATAACCTGCTTTAGGTTTGTTTCTTAAGACTTTTTTTATAAAATTGCAGATAAAGTATCAGTTCCCTTACTTATACACAAATTCTTTTAAAACTATTTTTTATCAAAAATATTAAGAAAAAACAATATTTTTCTCAAAGACTTTGACTGACACACGTTTATGCACAGCATTGTATGTATATGTGTATATATGTGTGTGTATAATTGACAAAATGAAAACAAATCACACGTAACGCGCTTCGTCCTTCGAAAAGAAATTTTTTCAAACTAATAATGATGTTGTCGATGAAAACTTTTATATGTAGTGTGGAGAAAGGAATTTCTACATCGAGAAATACTGAAGATGGCAGCGAAAATTAAATTTTTGTCATGTGATACATCTAGATGAATTAGTCTGATATATCATATATGATCAGATATTGTACATCATCCTTCAACCTCTCTCTGTCTCTCTCTGTCTCTCTCTCTCTATATATATATTTATTTATTTATTACTTTAAACGATTTTTAGTGGATACTCATATTTAAGTCAGCGCTCCATTTATTTGTTAAACAGTATATTTATTTATACTACCAGTCTGATTGAATATTAATCGAATATTTTTAAAGTTACAAAAATTTGTCGGATATATAAATAGAATCTATTACCTCAGAAAAAATACACACATATATATATATATATATGTACATATATATGTGATTAAAATATAGTTATGTTATATTTATAGGTAAAAGTGCTCAATATCAGAGTGTCCAATTTCATATTTACATACGTTCTGTATGTAAATATAAAATTGGACAATAATATCAACACCGAGCACCTACAGTGATTCTCATGCTTGAAAGCTGTCTTTAGGCCATGTGTGCTGTCTGTTGGTTCAGCTATTTATACACGTTAGTCAGTGATGCTTTTCTGCAAGGTCTGTTGTATTATCCTAACGGTTTTGAGGTGGGTGGTAACGGTCATATTTCAAATTATTCAAGAGGCTTTTTAATGGAAGTAACTGTTGATCAAAATGTGGTTACTTGTAGATACCGTATAGGGTTGTTTGTTATCTTTTTACTCATTATTTATTATTGTTTACTTACTTATTCTTATTTTTAATATAATTACATTTACTTGTGCATATGTGTGCGTGTGTTGTTAATTTTTTCTGTAATTATTTTTATTTTTCATTTTAATATTATTATTTTTTCAGGGTTGGTTATTTTGTTTCTTTTCTTTGAAATATTGGCTTTGCCTAAAGTATGTTATATTATCAACATTGTATAAAATGCGCATATTTAAATTTATCCTGATAATATTTTACAAGTTGAAAAGTGTAGTAAAATTTGCTTCCGTGTCAGCTTATATAAATAGTCCAAACAATACACTACACGCATGACCTTAAGATTGTGTTCAAGCTTGAAACAAACTGTCACTGCTCGATTTTGACTTCTGTGTCCACTTTCATATTATATATATATATATATATATATATATATATATATATATATATATATATATATGTGTGTGTGTGTGTGTGTGTATTCATTTGGCAAAAGCGTGTAACCCAGGGTCACAAAATCATATCCATACAACTGAATATGTTAACTCTACCACTGATATTGAGAGCTTGCCACTAAATACTGCACATATAAACTAATCCGTCGTCGTCCTCCGTCCGTCTCGAGAGACGATGAAGTAGCGCGGCCATATGGAGAACTAGGCCTGTCCAGACGTCTAGTTCCCCCTCTCGGCCATGCTAGCAGAGTCCAAAGGAGATGATAAACCAATACAGTTTGGTACCAGTGCAGCTTCAGAAGTTGCTGGAAGATTAGCACAAAGTACCGTCCATCCGCCTTAGGGGCTCCACTCCGGGTTTGAATTCACAGTTGTCCTTCTCCTAGACCAGATGACATACAAGGCTATAGAACCCAATCTGTTCTGCTATTTACCCATAGCTGGAGGGAGAAGAAGAGGATTCACACCTTTCCCAAGGGTATTAGCACGTAGGTGAATGTAATGGATTCGATTGGAATTCGAACTCGGCTCTCCGATTTCTCAATCTAAGCCGCTATCTATTACTACACCGTGCCTCTCTCTCTCTCTCTCTCTCCCTCCCTCTCTCTCTCTCTCTCTCTCTCTCTATATATATATATATATATATATATATATGTGTGTGTGTGTGTGGGTGAGAGAGAGAGAGATGATATGATATGATATGATATCTTTGCGCAAATGATCGCGTCAGTTAATATTAAAAAGTAGCCGAACCACGGAATTATTGCATTAGTCCGTTTGGAACTTTATACACTCAACCTTCCTTTCACTTTTTAAAGAAATCTTCCCTGTCCTTTTTCATTTGTTTTTGCGTAATCTCATGCACATACTGTGGATTATTCCCTTTTCAACGGGAAAAGTCCTAGGCCACAAATCTGGACTATACGGAGGCTCACAGACGTGGATGATGAAATGTTTTCGCCTAATGGAACCGACATATGTGGATGGGCAGACACTCAGTTATCACAAATGATTGATTGATTCATTCCTTTTTTTATGGCTTATTAACACATTGCATCTTTTTATAAGCCAGAAGATATTTTTAAATTGTAAGAATGCGTGGGGGGGATAATAAGTTTTTAGTGATACAAATCTTACTAATAAGTCCATAGCTTACGGGTAGATGAATTGATACCTATCCAAATTGAAATTGAATCTCGGCTCTACAATTTGAAATTCCGAGCCATTATCGATGCCATACCTTCACATCCAAATT